CAAAAAATACACATTTTCATTTCTTTGCAAGCTTGGAAAATATAGGCTTATTTTTACTTAAATGTGATATAAAGCTCTTTAAAATGCTGTGTAATGTCTTGTTATCATAGTGCTTTGTATTTTTATTGTCCACCTAGTACAAAGATTTTTTGTTGTTTTGAAATTGTTTGTTTATTGTTTTTAATTTTTAAAATTCCTACATTTTACATGTATGTGAATGGCGGAGTTGCCGCTTTCCTCCTTTTAGGTGGGTTTTATATTAAAAAAGGCATCAGAATGGGAAAAACCTCCTTGGTATCTCTGCATCTGTTAAACTTTTTATGGGGAGATGTATGAAAATCCAACTTGCTATAATTTCATATGCTTAACAGTATCACAACAGTATGTTTACAGTATCTCCCCATAATTTTTCATATGAAAAAATCTATTATATGCATCCCACTCGATATCATTGAATTCCTCATAAGAGCATGTAGTCCCTCTATTTTAGCGTATCAACAGTTCATATGGCTTCATACCATGTAAATGCACCATTAATTTCAAATTGAAAAAAAAATAAACACTTTGAAAATAATTTATAGTCGCACACGGAAGAACCGAAAAGATTGAAAAATCATGATACTTTTTTCTTTCGTCTGTCGATTTTAGAACTGGTTCGGAACTATAGAATTTGGAACCCGTTCGGAACTATCGAAAAAGGGATGCGATGGGAAAGGGGGGTAATTGACACTTCCTAGAATATCGCCATGTTAAATTCGCCAGTTGTTTGCATGCAAAAGAGATTTAACGCGAACCAGTACTGGGTCTAAATGTACTATAGGCGCACCAGTTCAGAACTAGAGATTTTCTCCACAGGGTAAACATGCACACAACTCATACACAAAAACGGCACTCACGTACACAACACATTCGCAAAAACGGTACTAGACTGACTCGCTTTGATTTTACACATTGAGAAGTTAGCTTACTGCCAATATAGAAGTATTACATACATATAAGGTTTAGGTACATCGGGCGAAGCCGAACTTTAAATACCCGGCGCAAGTATTAAATATATGTTTTTCACCTTTCCGAAAGTTACCTCTACATGGTAAGCCAGGGTGTATCAATTTTGAGTAAATTACCGTCCTTAAATTTCGAAATATTGAAGTTTCAAGCATTTCTGAAATTTACCGTTATATGAAAAGCGCTCTTAATTTTAGTCCGATTTCAATAATTTTAAAAGTTTTGCTTTCATATGGCAAGCACAATAACCATACTCAGTTTGGTACACATTGGTAGAACGGTTACCGAGATACATATATGTGATCCTAAGTGGGCGGTGCCATGCCCATTTTCCAAAATTTTACCATGAACGTTTTTCTTGACAAAGAATTGTTGCATGCATCAATTTTGAATAAATTAGCTTTAATATTTACTGATTTATCGAAGATTTCGTATTTACCTAAATTACCGTTATATGGGATATTGGCGTGATTATTGTCCGATTTTAAAAATTTTCGGCGTTTTGGTATGCTGTGCCAAAGCCAACAACTGTCCAAAGTTTGAAAGAAATATGTGTAGCGGTTACCAAGATATACACATGTAACCATAAGTGGGCGTGGCTACGCCCATTTTCCAAAAATTTATAATATTCTTATTTTTCGTCTAAAACTTATTGTAAATATCAATTTTGAGCGAATAATCTTCAGTAGTTAGTAAAATATCGCAGTTTTCATATTTCTGGAAATTACCGTTATATGGGAGGTAGGCGTGGTTATTGTCCGATTTTGCTCATTTTCAATACCATCCGTTCTACGCCCGAAAGAAGTGCACGTACCAAGTTTCGTTAAGATATCTCAATTTTTTACTCGAGTTATCGTGTGCACAGACGGACGGACGGACGGACGGACAGACAGTCACCGCTTAATCGATTTCTCTTTTCATTCTGATCAGTTATGTATACATTTGGCTTTATCTATCTCGATTCGTTTTGCCTGTTACAAACAACCGTTATGTGTACAAAGTTATAATACCCTTGTGCACAAGTGCGCTCGGGTATAAAAATTATTATTCTCTATCGTATCTATTTTGTTTGGAGGATGGTTCCGTGCGAAGAAGTGGAGTAGCCAGAAGCGATCCTTGTGCGTACGGTTCAGATCGCAGCTCACAACGTCCAGATATTTATATCCACGTATCCTCTAGGTAGCTACCAAACACCCGTTTGGGGGCGAGCTAAAGTGAGAAGGCGTAAAACTTTGCGTGCGCTGGGATTGGGTCCCGCCACGTGAAAATTCCGCCCAATGAAAAAATCTAAAAAGCCTCGGATGAGACCCCCTTTTTCTGATGACGACCACGGCAAACGTATAAAGGATTATGATTTAAGCGTATGCACCTGGAATATCCGGACCCTTAGTGGGGAAGGTGCCTCTGCCTGGCTGGTTGATGTCCTCGGGAAGACAAAGACTGACATCACCGCCATCCAAGAAATGCGATAGACGGGGCAAGGAAAAGTAAGCATGAAGCCTTGCGACGTCTCCTACAGTTGCCACGTAAAGGAGCGCAAATTCGTTGTTGGATTCGTGGTAGGAGAGAGACTCCGTCGCCGAGTACTGGCGTTCACCCCGGTGGACGAACGTCTAACCACAAACCGCATCAAAGCTAGATTCTTCAACATCTCGCTCATCTGCGCCCATGCCCCGACGGAAGAGAAGATGAGGCGTCCAAGGATCTCTTCTATGAGCGCTTGGAACGTACATATGAGCGCTGCCCCCGACACGATGTCAAAATCGTGCTTGGCGATTTTAATGCCAAGGTGCGAAATAAAGTCAATTGACATTATTACCTTTTCAAAAGCGAAATAAAGTCAACAAATATTTGGAAATAAAGTCATTGACGCTATTTCCTCATTCAAATAGAAATAGCGCCAACAATGCTTACATACGTAGGGAATATCTTTTTTATTCATACGAATCGTTGCAAAAGTTCTGTTTTTTGTTTTGTGTTTCTAGCAGTAAACGGAATTT